CCGCTCCCACTCACATACTCTGGCTCCTTCACACCAGCTTTTCTGCGCTTCTGTTCAGGCCCCCCTGCTGGGCTCGCCTCTCAACAGTTTTAACTCCTGCTTTATACACGCTCATGCGCTCTGTTTGGTTGAAGGCTCCCTGTTGAGCTGGTCTTGTCGCAGCGTTATTAACTACACTCTGGGGGAAAAACAATGAAGTTGTGGGGCACCTCGCTCTCTGCGTTCTCTTATGGTCCTCGGGAAAATATGTTTTTAATTGTTTAATTATTTAGTGGTTTCCCTTTAGTGGTTTCACACATGCACGTTAAATAATATTGCCATCGACATTACAGAATTAAAGAAACTTACAAAATAGTTATTCAAATATACAGATATCTGAAGTTGTCTCGGTGTTTAGATATGTGAATTAAGCATGTGCAGTTTGAAAAATATCAAATAAATTGTGTATCATCTCATAAAACAGGGCTTTTTTTTGACAGAGCATTTGATGAAGATCAGCAGGGAATTTGCTAAATTCACAAATGCATCTGCGTTTGCAGTTTTAAACTGTATTTGTATTAAGTAAAAGGAACCAAACCGTTCTCATGGCCACATAGTGGGCAGTTAGATCCCACTGTTTTGGGATCTGTGTCACAGAGTTGACCAAAACCTCCTTCAAACTTTTTCTTTCATTCATTCATTCATTCATCATCTTTAACCGCTTAGTCCAGATCTTTAACCGCTTAGTCCAGATAAGGTTGGGAGAGCAGAGAATCCCAGACGACCCTGCCCCCCACAACTTCCTCCAGCTCATTCCGAGGGACCCCGAGCCGCTTCCAGACCAACTTGGAGATATAATCCCTCCAGCAGGTTCTAGGATGACCTTGGGGCCTCTTCCCAGTGGGCCTTGCCTGGTGAACCCCCACCGGGAGGCGGCCAGGGGGCATCCCGATCAGATGCTCGAACCACCTCAACTGGCTCCTCTCAGTGCAGAGGAGTAGCAGCTCTACTCCGAGCTCCTCACCCTGTCAGTAGAGTCTAGTCTTGCGGAGAAAGCTCATTTCCGCTGCTTGCATCCACGATCTCATTCTTTCGGTCATTACCCAAAGCTCATGACCACAGGTGAGGGTGGGGATGTAGACTGACCAGTAAACAGAGAGCTTTGCTTTCTGGCTCAGCTCCCTCTTCACCACTACAGTCCGGTACAGTGACCGCATTACCGCTGCCGCCTGTCCCAGCCTGCGGTCGATCTCACCATCCCTCTTCCCAACACTCGTGAACAAGACCCTGAGATCCTTAAACTCCTCCACCTGCGGCAGGTCCTCTCCCCTTACCTGGAGTGGGCATGCCGTCCTTTTCCGGGCTCAGACCGTACATGAAAAATATGATGATTTTATGTGTGTGCAGCTGTTCAAAGCTGTGTTTGCTGGTCATGTGCTGGCTGTGTTTTTGAGTTTGGTAAAGTTTAGGTAGCGTTATGATTGGTTTGGTAGTGACAAAATGCACAGTTCAATCATTTGTTTTAATAAAGTAATCATAACTAAGGTGTCACTCAAAGCAAAAGCCTAAATTCCAAGTCAGTTAATACTCTATTGAGTTATTTGAGTCATTGGACAGCGACCAGCCGGATTCCCCTCTGTTTCATTCCAAAGCATGACTGAGTTATTTTTACAGCTCTTTGCTGAACTCACAGCAGCTGGAATGACCCAAGACCATTCATTCTTTAGCCTGAGGGCACGCGCTGGCTCCAGCTCTCCATCATCTCAACCAGAACTGCTCCCTCTGCTTCCTCCTTTCTCAGCTCACTGGAGCCATTTTCACATCAGATCCTCAAGAACTCGCATTGTTTGGTGCAGTTACTGCTGCTGGTATGAAGTGGGCTTGAGAGAGTGCGGAAAACACAAGGGTGGCGTGATAAAGGCGATAGATGAAATCAAAGGTCAGAGGAAATAGAAATGTTGAGTGTGGTATTACGTGATGTCTTGCAGCACCGCTAACCATACACACTTAAAATGATGGTTATTCAAGGGCTCTTTAGTAAAATGGTTCTTTATAGAACCATGGACACTCAAAGAACCCTTTGCATGATTAAAGGGTGCTTTGCATCGTGAAGATTGGTGGTGAGTGTGCTGTAGATGGTTCTGTACTGAACCTTTTTGAAAATGGTGCTGTTGAGCACCAAAAAGTGTTGTTCTATTGTGATGATGTGAAGCCTGTAACCATGTAGAACCTTTTTCTTTACCGAAGAACCCTTGAAGAAGCATTATTTTTAAGTGTGTGAACTGTTTTCATTCGCCCGCCGGTGTCAGATCTTTTGAAGGTGGGTATCACGCAGAGTTTTCAGTATCAGCACTAATACTAACACCTCGACTTCTTTACCCTCTTTCAAATTACAAACCGGAAGTGGGTGTGGCTTAAACCAGACGTGAGTGTGCGTATAAACATGGGTATATTTATTCACTGGGGGTGTAACCATTCTCCACGGTTCAGACCTCGATTTTTGAGCCGTGGTTCAGTTCATACTTTTTTTTTTTTTTGGTGATTTTGTGTTTTATGTGTGTTTATAGTATTAAGTGTGGAATAAAAAGGACTTTTACATTACTAACGTAATGAGAACTCAGCAACAGGGGGAGGGGGTTATCGCGGTTCCATCTTCCGGAACATTAACATGAGACCATGGACGTTTGTATTGGTTTCAGAATCATTTAACCTGTACAACCGACCGCAGCAGACCGTAGACTGAAGAGGAAGCACTGAGTTTAATAGCATGCATGCGGAATGTAATCTAGACCGACGGAAAGGCGGATGTGGTACTGAGGTTTGGGATTGAGTGAACTTTCCATACTCTGTAGTATTGCAGTTTTACATTTGGTCTTAAATTTTGATTCCCGGGCCAAGTGTTGATTCTCTTGACTCCCTGTTAATCCCTAAAACAGAGTTGGAATAGAGTTTACATTCAGAGCTGTCTTTTGTGGATTTTATTGCTTCTCGGTGAGATGATGGAAAGAAACCTTTCAACCTTTTAGTTCAGTTTATACATGATTTTATTTTTACACTGAAAACTTTTATGTGGTTTTATGTTCCAAAAACATGATCATTTTCCAACCTTTACTGATCCCTCAGAACTAAACAGACTGATTTTGTTACTGTGCGTGCAAATGACCTCAATTCTGATTGGCTGTCCTGTATTGCGGCTCATTTAAAACACACACCTTATAACCTCAGCGTGAATGGGCGGGACTAAACTACTCTAGACTGATGTATGCAGATGTCTTAGTTTTTGTGTCATCGTGAAAACAGTAGATTCAAAAAGGGCTGTTTGTGCAGCTTAGCTTCCATAAATGGACTGAGGAGTGACTTAAACTTCAACATTGTTTATATACTATATCAGAATTTTTGGTTTGGGCCTTTTAAGTGGAGAAATGACCCTTTTAATGCATTCAGGCCTTGAGCCCAAACAAGCTGATGTGCCAGTCTTCTGGGCAAATAAGGTTGCAGCTTAAATTAATTAATGGATTTAAATAGGTTAACCTATGTTGATGCATCAGTTTCAGTAGTATAACAAAAATCCATGAATTGAAACTTTGCAGCTTAGTGTTTATATGTGGACTGCAGAGTGAACGGTACGGTTGAGGACTTTAACAGTGTTTGCTTACTGTGTAAAACACTTTTATGTCAAAAAAAGGGAAGAAATTTCAGTTTTGCCTGATATGGGCCCTTTAAATTGATCTCTTCCAGTCATTCGTGTACAATGTTTACTTGTCGTGGCTCATAAAGCAGCCCGTAATCCCAGTTTGGAAACCCTGTGCATATCACAGAGGCTTTAGCGCTGTACGTTTATATTTGAGTCAGGTCATGTATGGTGTTGTGTGCCGCTGGGGAAGGTTGAGTGAGTTTCTGACGCGCCTTTTATCTCTGTTGCATGAATGAGGGAGAGGTTAAAGGGCAACCCAAGTGATGTTTTGTTTTCACTTCTCTCTGTCTGTCGCTCTCTCACCACCCTTCCCCCTTCCTACACACACACACACACACACACACACACACACACACACACACACACACACACTAATGACCTTGGGTTGCTCTTCTTGTTTATTGTGTTTGATGACATTTTGGGTGAAGGGTAGTGGAGTAGGCCTGTGTTTAGTTTTGTTAAATATTTAAACATGCTCTTGATCTTCTTCCTGAATGAGAGTAGGCTTTAGACCCCACAGTTAAATCCCAATGAGGATGTTGTTGTATGTTTATAACATAACACTAGGTAGTATTTCCTGGTCATCTTGCGGAGATGTTGGGCATTTTATTTCTTGCAAATCTTAGACAAACAGGCTACGGTTAAAAAAATAGTTTGCGTCTAATCAGAAATTAAACCTTCATGGAAGGTAGAAACAGAGCGTACCTCTGATTTTTCTATTCAGTGGTTGAGATGTAAACAGAGTGATTCAGAGTGGTTTGATATGAAATGGTTCAGATCTCTTTACAGTGGTGGTGATAGGAACCAGGGGTCGCCATGTCTACAACACAAATATAGCTATTTTATTTACTGTCCAAAACCACCAGTGAACCTACACGAGTCTTTTTAGTTCTTATATGTAATGTTATTGGGAAATTATGGTCAATCTAGGGACTATTAGGGACTATTTTGCCTTAAAACACCCTGCATGTATTTCACCTCCATTAATGGATTTTAAGAACAATAAGTTTTAGTCCAAAACCTTCCCAAAACAGTCATAAAACACTGTTTCAGGCATCAGGCAGTGAATTCATAACCATTTCATGTAATATCTTTCTGTGAGGGAGCTTTTAGAGGTGGACGTCTGGTTCCTATCACCACCACTGTGAACAGTTCTGACTCGGTATGTTTCTCTAGAACAGAGCGTTTCACACCAAACCACTCTGAATGATTCTGTTTACTTTATAACCATTTAATTATGCAGGTTATTCAGGCATTTAAGTTAATTAACGAAACTGTGGTGATTTGTGCTTTAAGCCGAAAGCTAAAGGTGCGTTTGGTCTTCCAGGTGACGTTCCGTACGAGAATCTACCACTGCAACATCAACAGTCAGGGAGTGATCTGTCTGGACATCCTGAAGGACAACTGGAGCCCAGCCCTCACCATCTCCAAGGTGCTGCTGTCCATCTGCTCCCTCCTCACAGACTGCAACCCTGGTAAGACTCACCTCTGTGCTACAGTTAACTCACTGTAATAAATAGTTCAGGCCTTGCTGCACCATTTAAGGTGGAACGGGAAAATTCGAATGAGGAGCTGGTGAATATCTGACTTCAGCTTCATATCACTGAAGAATTGGGGGTGGGTGATAATAAATAATTGCCCCCCTCTTTGAAGGCATATGATTCCCTAAATGTAACTAAAGCCCAGCAGTGAGGAGCTGAACTTTACCCTCCTCTGCTGTCACTGCAGCCTGGCAGTGTCGTCTACAGAGCAGCGCTAGTAGCTGTTAATGAAGTGATGCTCTTTTTATTTGAGGGTCTCGTTTCGTAGAGGAAGATTTCAACCACTACTCCTTGTAACTCAGTTCCAAGGGGCAAAGTGACACTGGAAAACAAGGGGTAGGGGTAAAAAGAAGAAATGGGATTGGGTCTTAATGCCATTTTCAAATTTCTTCTCTGTTAAGGATGTGTTCGCTTATTTTAATTTAGAAAATCAACAAAACGTCATTTGACCGTGGTTTGCATGCAACTTTATGACTGTAATCACTCTGTCCGTGGAGTTTATGCTTCACCTGGGCCATGCAAGTCATAAATAACTAAATAAACGCTGTAGGACAGCACGGCTGGTGTTGTGATAGACATAAGATGCAGCTGGACGTATTTCCGTTCGCTCAGACGCGCGACTGCAAAAGCTTTTGGTGCAAATTGTCATTTAGTTTGTGTAGCCATGGCAGTGACGCCAGTGTGGAGAACCTGAATTAATAGTTGATTAGAACAGAATTAGAAAGTATATTTATGCAGAGGCAATTACTCTGAAGACGTCTTCTGTAGCCTCATTTAGAGAGAAACGGAAACTGAAACTGGTAGTTGCTTAATGACTGTCCCACTCCATTAACTATTAGGGCTAAAGTTACAGTGAAAACCACTAATTGGTCCCTCAGATTCTTTAAACGCTTCACTATCTGGTCTTGTGCTGCCCACAGACTGCAGCCCTGGTGAGATAAATCACTGATAACAGACTATTTTTCATTGTTCACACAGCCCATTTACAGCGTATGGGAAAAACAAGTGACCAGCTGTAGCAAACGTGCTGCATCTGTAATATTGGAAACTCAAAATATCTCATATTGATATTGATCAGCATTGAACTTGCGTACATTTAAAACTAGAAAAGTGCATTTCCTGAAAAGGATGCAGAGCGATTGCTGGGCTGTTGCTAAATGATCGCTATGGTATTTTAGCTGGTTGCTAGGTTTTGCCAGGGATTTACTTCATGGTTGCTATAGTGTTTCAGGTGGTTGCTAGGGTGTGGCTAGGCAGTTGCTATGTTATCTCAGATGATTGCTATGTTGTTGCTAGGCTAGGCTGTTGCTAGATTGCTGTGGTATTTTAGGTGATTGCTAGGGATTTACTTGATGGTTGCTATAGTGTTTCAGGTGGTTGCTAGGGTGTGGCTAGGCAGTTGCTAAGGTATCCCAGATGATTGCTGTGGTGTTGCTAGGCTAGGCTGTTACTAGATGATCGCAATGGTTATTCAGGTGGTTGCTAGGTTTTGCTAGGGAGTTACTTGGAGATTGCTATAGTGTTTCAGGTAGTTGCTAGGGTGTGGCTAGGCAGTTGCTTTGGTATCCCAGATGATTGCTATGTTGTTGCTAGGCTAGACCGTTGTGAGGGTGTTGCTAAAGTTTGCTAGGCCATTGCTATGGTGTTCCAGGTGGTTGCTAAAGTGTTGCTATATTATCCCATGTGGTTGATAGTGTATGTATGGTAGTTGATATGTACACCCTTAAAAAAGGTGGTGCTTCAGGGGTTCTTCAGTAGAGAAATGGCTCTATATAGAACCATGAACACTCAGAGAACCCTTTGCAGATTGATGGAATTGTGCTGTAGATGGTTCTATATAGAATCTATTGAAAAGGGTTCTATATAGCACCCAAAAGGGTTCTTCTATTGTTACGATGCCAAGCTTGTAACAATAGAAGAACCCTTTTGGGTGCTATATAGAACCCTTTTCAAAAAAGCTATCCATGGCGCATTCATGCATATTCTCCATCAATCTGAAGAACTATGTGTGAAAGAATCCGACTTTGGTTTCAGAACATTCTGGATTCGGTGTCGCTATCTCAAAAACTGTGGGAGGAGCTATCGGACAAATTTCTGGCAGAAAAAGAAGAAAAATGAATGTTGTATGTCGTAAAACAATAACAAACCCACACTGTGCACTCTCTAACAGCAGTTATGAGGATGTGTAGGTTTTTTATTTACATTAGCTTCATCACATGTTCCCACTGGTTCTTGAAGACAGAGTCTATTATCTGCCAAGTATAACTGTTGTGTCTCATCATAAGCCGAAATAAGGCCTTTGACCCCAGTGTGTGTAAACGGAGATGTAAGCAAACCATTACGAGCCTTGAAATATTGTTCATTGTGTCGCTCCCTGTTGGTTCCTGCGATCAGATCAGAGTCTGAATTCAAAGTGCTGGTTCTTAGCTTCAGAGCTCGGTCTGTGAAACAAAGGGAGCATGTCCCCCCACCCGCCCCCCACCCCTTCCTCCTGTTCTTTCAGAGAATTCAGTGCTGGGACTCACGCTTTGTCCTGAAATCCCTGATTTGTGGCTTTAATCTGTATTATGACTCCAGAAAGTCTCTTCAGCTGATTTGGAATGTAAATACTTTGGTACATGCCTTGCAAACCTGTCTGGAATTTGGCTGGTCTCGAATACACTTTGCATGGCTGGTTTGTGGATGGTTGAAGTCAGAAAGGAGAAAATGCAGAGCTTGCTGATGCTGTTGACCAGCATAGCTTCTGCAGTACCGCGTATAGTGCTGTGTTTTCAGTGGTAAACGGTGTTTTTGGCTCACTGCATGCAGAAATCTCATTATATAGGTCACACTGGATGCATAGGCACCTATAGAGGCTCATTACAGGCACATACTTAAAAATGATGGTTCTGCAAGGGTTCTTTAGTAAAGAAAATGGTTCTGTATGAAACCACGAACACTCAAAGAACCCTTTGCATGATTAAGGGTCCTTTGCATCGTGAAGGGCTTCTTCAGATTGATAGAGAACGTTGTAGATGGTTCTATGTTGAACCTTTTTGAAAAGGTTCTTTATAGCACCAAAAAGGGTTCTGCTATTTATGATGTCAAGCTTGTCACAGTAGAAGAACCCTGTTCGGTGCTATATAGAACCCTTTTCAAAAAGTTTCTATATAGAAAAAATTTACAGCACATTATGATGCGAAGAAGCCTTTAATCATGCACAGGGTTCTTTGAAAGTTCATGGTTCTATGTAGAACTATTTTCTTTACCAAAGAACCCTTGAAGAACCATCATTTTTAAGTGTGTAGAAAGGCTGTTTCTGGCAGCAGTATGTCAAGACTTTGAGTTAGTATCTCAGAGTAATGACTCATTTTTTTCAACATATTGGCTTAGTATCTTAAAAAAAATGGCCTATTTTCTCAAAATATTGATTTATGTCAAAGTAACGAATTACTATGTTAAAATAACCTGTTTTCTTAAAATACTGATTATGTCAAAACTCATTAACACCAGGTAGAGGAGCTGTTTCTGGCAGCAGTGTAACAAGAGTTTGACTTTATTTTGACTGTCTCAGAAGGTTGACTTAATTTCTCAAAATATTGGCTTAGTAATTCAAAATGACTTGTTATATCAAAACATTGACTTACTATGGTGAAATAATGACTTATTTTCTCAAAATACCGACTGTCTCAAAAATAATGAATTGGGGTCTTGTAATAATGATATATTATTCCAAAATATTTACTTTTGACATTCAATAACTCATTATTTCAATGTAGTATCGCAGTATCTCAGGAAAATATTAACTATTTCAAGATATAAAGTCAATATTTAAAAAAAAAAATTAGATACTAAGCATTTTGACATGTTGCTGTTGGAGAGGAAGGGAAAAAACAGATTGTTTTTCTCCTTTATCTAGCAGGAATGGGCTTCCTCAGACTTCCCTTCACCGTTAGGAATTTAGTACCCAAGCCATGTCTTCACTTCTCTGTGCTCTGCATTTTAAAAGGAGGACACGGTTCACTGGGTGAAATGTGAATGGTACAGCTTATACATACATCATCTAAACCGCTTATCCTACTGGGTCGCGGTGGGGTGCTGGAGCCCCTGGAGAGGTCGCCAGTCCATCGCAGGGCAGACAAACAGACATACACAGTCACACACTCACTCACACCTAGGGGCAATTTTAGCATGTCCAATCAGCCTGACTGCATGTTTTTGGACTGTGGGAGAAAACCGGAGAACCCGGAGGAAACCCACACAGACATGTGGAGAACAGGCAAACTCCACACAGAAATGACCCTGGTCGCCCGGCCGGGAATCGAACCCAGGCCATTCTTGCTGTGAGGCGACAGCGCTACCCACTGCGCCACCGTGCCGCCCTTGGTACAGCTTATAAGACTCGTAAATGTGTTTTTGAAACGTTAGTGCAGCTTTAAGTTTGGTTTTATAGGTCTCTCCATATTATTCAATAATAAAATGGCCATAAAACAGTGGCGTTCTCTTCGCCAGCAGTAATATTTTCTTATTAAGATCCTGACAGTTAACTGCAGTGTGTCATTTGTTGGCCAAATGAGAATTTTCTTTATAATCCCATTAAAATTGAATAAATAGTAAGTTTTCTTTCTGGAAATGTGTTTTCTGCCTGGTTAACAATGCAATACTGTGTAAGGCTCTGTTTTATGTAATTTTAAGAGCCCAGTCAAAACACACTCTGTCAGGTTTGTAAGCTTTTCAATTTTATTCATAGCTAGCTCCACCCACTAGCTAGGTCTCCCCTATCACATGATGCTACCATGCTAGCATGTGCTTCCTCCAAGACACATGAAGCTCCACCACATCTTTTCGAACTGCTGATAATACTTCACTGGACAGCTCAACACGCTTGGAGGAGAACACTAAGCACTAGTTCTGTTGCATCAGCTAACAGATGTCCATGTTGGCTAGCATCATGC